ACTATGTACCCTCTTAGTCCAAAACACCTTTAATCTTCATTCATTTATTCAATAAACATCTATGGAGCTTCAGCTGTGTGGTTGGGAATTGTGCTGGGTACTGAGGATCCAATGGAGAACCTAATGGAACTTATAGTGAAGGAAAGAGAAAGAGAAGCTGATGGCAACGTGCCAAATCCAAGAAATCATCTATAAGCATATAAAAATAGTGACCATTGACCATAAAACTTTAAATTTCAACTTTAAAACCTTATCATTTTATCTGAAGAGATGTTGTTTCAGATGCCTTTTACAGAAATGAATGATTCCTTTAAAAATAAATGTTCTGTGGCTGAGATTAGAACCATTAATTGAACCAGCTGTTAGATAATCACATTGTCCACAACTATTTATTTTTTCCCATGAAACCAAGTTATGCATCCCCACACTCACCACGTAACTTGCAATGCCTCCTTATAAGTGAAGTATACTTTCCGCTTCAATTTTCAGTAGTAGCCATAAGACTTGCTTTGGTCAATGGAATGTGTGCAGACTTAATTTATGCCATGTCCTAGAAGAGGCTTTAAAAGTAGAGGTACATTTGGCTCTGTCTCTGAATACTATCTTTGTCATGAAAACAGCATGTGTTAGATAGGGACTGCTCTTTTAACAGGGGTCTGAGAATTAGAAATATATGTAGCAGACCAAAGCAGAGCAGCAGATTGAAGCAGAGCCACAGCTGACCTTCAGCCACCATATAACATATGCAAGAAATAAATGGTTACTATTCAAGGCACTGCAATTTGAGGGCTGTTTATTACCATGGTAAAGCTAACTAATATCTGACTTTTACTTAAATTTCACTTGACATAAACCATAATATTTTCAGAAGTCAACACACTAAGATAGAGATACAAAGGGGAGAAAGCTCATTCTTCTTCCAAAATAACCAGTAGACCAGAAAATTAAAAATTAAAATGGCTATGTGAACCATGCTAATCAAGGTTTGTGAATGAGATTATTAATGGGAATAAACAGCTACTTAATGACTTTTCAGTTTTCCAAATTATACCAACTTGTAAGTATATCAAACCATCATGCCTTTTTGACTTTCTGCTACGCGAGGCCACCAAAACAAGATGCCCTCAGCAGACAGTGAGTTGACTGGTGCTGTGGTCTTGGACTCCCTAGAATACAGAACTGTGAGAAATAAATTTCTCCTGTTCATAAATTACTCTATCTAAGGTATTTTGTTATGGCAGCAGCAGAAATAGACTATGACACCAGGTAAAGGACAACCTTATAAGCAGGACATTCCAAGGGCAGCAGTCTCAGGCTTGCTGATCTGTTTTCTGTACAGCAGGTAACCAACAATGTCTGCTATAATATATTATTTAAAAATATTTTTTCTTACTACTGCATATCTATCCACTCAATGCTATAATATAGTAATACATTAGAAGAGAAAAGCCACATCATCACCCAAATGATGCTGAGAAAACATGTCATAAAAGTCCAGCATCTATTTCAAATTTCAGCCCTTAGCAGAATAGAAATTCATTATTTCCCTAGCATTAAAAAGAAAATATTACCTATCATTTAGAAAATACTACATACAGGTATACTATTATTTGAGATATAGGAAAAAACAAAGTTTTTCTATAAACTAAAGTTTTTCATACTCTCATAAACTTATATAAAATACAAGACTCCAACACCAGATGTAAAGAACTGTACAGTTCTGGAAATGCTGCCCAATGCAGTTTGATTTAAAAAATCATGCTGCATACCTTAAATATATGCAATAAAAATAAAAGTTTGGCATGTAAATATTTTGCTATAGATACTATAGGTCCAGTATTAAATGTTTAATTTTGCTAATTTATGATTTAATATAGTTCTTTTTAAAAAATAATTTTATATTCATTAGAGAGAGCCCATAAATACATGTATGGTCTAGAGACCACCTACATTGAAATCACTTGAGATGCATATTAGAAATGCAACTTTATACCCACCCCTTCCCTCACACTTGCTAAAGCAGAATCTGGCAGTGAGTCAGCAAAAAAACAGGTTATATAACTGCTCAGTATTTCTGATGCAAACTATAGTTTGAAAATCACTGTTTTAATTTTCCTGTTCAGATCCATATTAGTGAGCCCAACTATTCCCTGACTTCAACCTAAGTGTAGTTGCAGTTGTTTTGACTAGAAAACATCTTGAAAATTGAAACAGCATACATAACATTGTAAAGTAGAAAGTTCAGCCTACAGATAGCAATTGTGGGGTTTGGAAAATTGTTACTAATAATCACTTGAGGGATGATAAAAGGAACATTTCTGGGAAGCTCATGATGGGGAGAGACCTACAATTCTTAGAATGGTCTGTGGAAAAGTGGAACCATTAAATTACTTAGATGTGCACATGTGGTCTTATTCATTTTAATGGCTTAGCAAAAGTGCACTATGAGCCCTGCCAAATAGAGTCCTCATTCCCTGAGAGTGCCTTCTGGTTGATTTGTGAGATATTTTGTTATTTCTTTAATGGTCAAATATAATTCATCCTTCAAATGCACTGCTCTCCTAAATTATAGCCAAGGACCTAGAACTGCAGAAATTTGAACTAAAAAAGGACCTTAGAGATCATCTGGCTCAATGATCTCATCTAATAGATGAACAAACTGAGACTTCAAGAGACTAACTGATAGCCTAACTTCTGACTAGCTACCAAATTATTCACCACAGTCTGAATACTAGTAATAATATTTTATGGCAAGGCACTAGAAGTGAGAGTCCAGGATCTCTAGACCAAAGAATTGTAAAAAGTTGTATTTATCAGAGAAAAAAACAAAAACAAAAACACAGGAGTCCTGAATTCATTCGACAAACAAATATTGAGCTTCTACTCTGTTCTGGGCACTTTGTTAAAACCTTAGCATACAAAGATAACTAAAAGATAATCCCTGCCCTCTAAGGACTTACAATTGGTTGAAAAATAATAGTTAATACACAGTGAATGCTTTCTATGTGCCAGGCATTATTCTAAAACCTTTATGTGCATAAACAATCCTAGGCAATAGGGACTATTAACCATTCCCTTTTTACAGATGAAGAAACTGAAGCACAGAGAGGTTATTCCATCTGCCTAAAGTTGCACAGCTAATAAAGGATTATATTAGTTTTCTAGATCTGCTATAAAAAAGTGCCACAAATTTGGTGGCTTAGAGGAACAGAAATTTATTGTCTCACAATTCTGGAGACTAGAAATATAACAGCAAAATGTTGGCAGGGTTAGTTTCCTCTGAGGGCTGTAAAAAGAAAACTGATTCATTGCTTCTCTCCTAGCTTCTGGTGGTTTGCTGGCAGGTTTTGGCATTCCTTGGCTTATAAAAGCATCACCCCAACCTCTGTATTCGTCTTTACATGGTGTTATCCCATGTGCATGCCTGTATCCAAATTTCCCTTTTTTGTGAGGAAATAAGTTATCTAGGATTTGAGGCCCACCCTACTCCAGTATGACCTCATCTTAAGTAATTATATTTGCAATGAACCTATTTTAAAATAAGATCACTTCCTAATGCACTATGGGTTTGGATTTCAAGATATGAATGTTAGGGTGACATAATTCAAATCACAACAGGGTTAAAGACAGATTTTCTTTCGAACAATCCGGCTGCAGAGTTTACACATTAAACACCCTGTTAGGTATGTGCTATACTAAAAGTCATTTAAAAAACTATATGAACCCAGAAAAAAGAGACATTTAATTCTGTCCAGTGCACAGTGACTGGGAATTGGAGAAGGATGTGCAACGAGGTAATGGTTGAGTTGAGTTTTGAATTATGAATTAAAATTCACCAAATGGAAAGAACTGCATGAGCAAAGGCAGAGAAGCAAGGAGGTACCTGATATGCCATCACCTCTTGCCCATACTATGGCAACAGCCTACTAATTGGTCTCCTTGCTTCTATTCTTGCTCCCCTATGGTCAATTATCCATCAGCAGCCACAGTGATCTTTTTCACAAAAGCAAGTAAGATAAAAAATTTTCCTGCCCTCAACCCTTCAATAACTTCTCATCATATTTAGAACAATCCAAAGTACTTACCAGACCCACAAGCCTTACTTGATCTGGCCTCTCACTACCTTTCCAACATCATTTCCTGGCTGTCTTGCACAAGTCTTTTATGCCATAGTCACACTGCCCTTTCTCCTTAATGTTCTCCCTTTCAGAATATTTTTCTCCCAGATTTCACATGGCTAGTTCCTTCTCATCATTCAAGGTTCACTCAAATGCCATTTTCCAAAGACACCTTTTCTGATTATTCAATTTATTAGTAAATAACTCTCTCCCAGTGATTCTCTTTCATATCATATATTACTCTTTCCCTTGTGGCACTCTGTAATGCCACACAAATAAATCATCATGCATTTATTTGTTTACTTGTCTATAGTCAGTCTCCCTCTTCCAAAATGTAAACTCAAAAAGGGGAGGGATTTTGTCTTATTCATTCATAGCTCTATCCCCAGTATCTCAACAGTGCCTGAAACAGTAAATAATTTTTAAATAAATGCCTAAATGCTTTAATTCAAGACCAGTTTTGATGGAGTGATATATGCAGAAACTATCACACAATAAGACAAAGAGAAAATGGGCCTAAAGAAGTAAAGTTGTGAGCATAGAGCTCTTTTTAAGGAATTTAGTATTGAAACAAAATTTGGCCAACAGGTAATAAAAGATGGTAGGATTAAGCAGCTTTTATTTATAGGTCATGATTCTAACTGTCATGTGGATGAACACATACACAGGTTGATTCAGAAAAAAATGAATAATGAGAGGGCATGAGACAGAGATCAAATATAGGGGAGAGATAGGATAATTGATAAAATAAAGTCTTGGTGGAAATGGGAGTATATGAACTCAGGAGCACTGTGGAGGGGTTATCGTCAGAAGGGGACAGGGACACATCTTCCTCTGAGACATAATTAAATGAAGTAAGGATAAGTGAAAACACAGACTTACCTGAAGGCTGGGGAAAAGGATGTTTGAAGAATATCACTGAGGCAGGAGGCTAAACACTGCTGAGAGGAAGACCTGAAAGGAAAGAGATCTTAATGAGACCGGGAAGGTTTAGAACAGCTACTGTGGGTTACAGGAAAGGGAAACAATTAGGGATCAGTTAAAGAACTCTTGGAATGTACTGACAGCTGAGGTTGAAGATCATAAATTTGTAATGGATCCAATCTAAAAAGAATATGTGCTTTTTTCTCCAATAGAACTCTACAACCCTGAAGCAGAAGTGGAGGAAAAACTGAATGTTGCAGGGCTAGCAACAAAGGCAAGTTCAGCAGAAGATTAGGAGAGCTAGAAATAACAGCTGAAAGGTTTGACCATTTTAACTAATTAGTGAAAAGAGTAGAGCAAGGAGGAAGCTAAAAATCAGGAGACCTGTGAGATGATATGTTAGAAGCGAGGAATTAGAAAGGTGGTGTGTTGTGATCTGAGAGTTGGAGTTGAGAGTTTAAAAAAGAAAACAAATGTAAGCTGAGGGAGGGATGGACTACAAGGAAGTATTAATAGCAGGAATTTGAGGGGGAGGAGAATTGAAAATGTTCTCTATCTTCATTTTGATGACAATTTCATGGCTGTGTAAAATTATCAAAACATTAAATTATACATTTTAAATGGATATAGCTTACTGTACACAAATTATTCCTCATAATGGTTGATACGATTTTTTTTAAAGCTGAAAGTATTTTAGGAAACGTTAATGTTCAGGTTGTAGCCATATTGTAAGTGTTGTGTTGATGAAGGTCACCAGAAAATAAACTTAGGAATTGTTGCGTTTTTTTTTTTTTTTTGAAAGAAATCCTGACTTCTATTTAGTGAATTAGAGTTATTATTTTTTTATTTCAGAATATTATGGGTATACAAAAATTTAGGTCACATATATTGCCTTTGCCCCACCGAAGTCAGAGCTACAAGTGTGCCAATCCCCAAGATAGCATGCACTTCACCCATTAATTGTGAATATACCCATTCCCTCCACCACCCTCTGACCTGCCCGACACCCGATGAATGCTACTTCCATATGAGCATAGAAGTGTTGACTGATTAGTACCAATTTGGTGGTGAGTACATGTGGTGCTTATTTTTCCATTCTTGTGATACTTCACTTAGTAGAATGGGCTCCAGTTCCATCCAGGATAATACAAGAGGTGCTATATCACCGTTGTTTCTTAGAGCTGAATAGTACTCCATGGTATACATATACCACATTTTATTAATCCATTCTTGGATTGATGGGCACTTGGGCTGTTTCCACATCTTTGCAATTGTGAACTGTGCTGCTATAAACATTCTAGTGCAGGTGTCTTTTTTATAGAATGTTTTTTGTTCTTTTGGGTAGATGCCCAGTAATGGGATTGCTGGATCTAATAGTAAATCTACTTGAATCATTTTGAGGTATCCCCATATTGCTTTCCACAGAGGTTGTACTAGTTTAAGGTCCCACCAGCAGTGTATGAGTGTTTCTATCTTTCTGCATCCAGGCCAACATTTGTTGCTTTGGGACTTTTTGATAAAAGCCATTCTCACTGGAGATAAGTGATATCTCATTGTGGCTTTGATTTGCATTTACCTGATGATTAGACATGATGAATATTTTTCATATGTTTGTTGGCCATTAGTTTGTCTTCTTTTGAAAAGTTTCTGTTCATATTCTTTGCCCACTTTTTAAAAGAGTTGTTTGATTTTTTCTTGCTGATTTTCCTGATTTCTATATATATTCTAGTTATCGGTCTTTTATCAGATATGTAGCATGTGAATATTTTCTCCCATTCTGTAGGTTGTCTGTTTGCTCTCGTGATAGTTTCCTTGGCTGATCAAATTAAAATCTTTTTAATTGGATCAGATTCCATTTATTTTTTGTTGCTGTGATTGCCTTTGGAGTCTACTTCATAATTTCTTTCCATAGGTCAATTTCTATAAGAGTTTTTTCAATGTTTTCTTGTAGAATTCTTACAGTTTCATGCCTTATGTTTAAGTCTGTTATCCATTGTGAGTTAATTTTTGTGAGAGGTGAGAGGTATAGTTCCTGTTTCAGTCTTCTACATGTGGCTATCCAATATTCCCAGCAGCATTTATTGAATAAGGATTCTTTTCCCCAGTGTATGTTTTTGTCTGTTTTGTCAAAGATCAGATGGCTATAAGAGGATGGTTTTATATCTGGGTTCTCAGTTTGTTCCATTGGTCTATGTCTCTGTTCTTGTGCTAGTTCCATGCTGTTTTGGTTATTATAGTCTTGTAGTATAGCTTGAACTCTGGTGGCATGTTGATGCCTCCAAATTTGTTCTTTTTGCTTAAGGTTGCTTTTGCTATATGGGGTCTTCCCTGGTTTCATATGATGTGTATAATTATTTTTTCTAGATCTGCAAAAAATGATATTGGTATTTTAGTAGGGATTGCATTGAATCACTGTAGGTCCAGGTATTGGCAATTACCAAAGATAAGAGAGGGTTTGGGGTGAGTCAGATTTGGAGTCCTCAGCATGTATTTAGTAACCTGGATGTTAATCAACAGAGATAGGGCTGTTGAAGGAAGAAATTTTAATCATTTACTTGTTATACAGGTTGAGTATCCCATGAAAACCTGAAATGTGAAATGCTCCAAAATCCAGTACTTTTTGAGTGCCAACATGGCACTCAAAGGAAATGCTCATTGGAGCATTTCAGATTTTGGATTTTATGATTTGGAATGCTCAATTAGTAATTATAAAGCAAATATTACCAAATCCAAAATAATCTGAAGTCCAAAACACTTCTGGTCTTATGCATTTTGGATAAAGGAAACTCAACTGTATCAATGTGTATTATATTTTGTTTTGTTGTGGGGGTTGTGTGTGTGTGTGTGTGTGTGTGTGTGTGTGTTGTGTGCGTGTGTGCAGTTTTTAGTTCCAATTGGCAAGTAACCTTTTTCAAGTACACATTATATAAGTGTAATACCGTCAAATTTATTCATAAGAATTCTAAACATATCCTATAAAGGGTCAGGTTAAAGTAAAATATCAAAATCAGGATTAGTAAAATGCATTGATAAAACCAAAATCATTCTAAGAATCAATACAAAAAACATTTAAATTACTGTATTTTGGGGGGGACATTGCTGTTTCTAATTATGTTGCTATTTTAAGTCTTACCTTTCAATACCATGTTCCTAACAGAATAAAAACGAAAATACCACTTTTATTCAGGATTGAAAAGAAATAATTTGAAATTTGAAGCACAAAGAAGGGAAGGAAATTAGTTGCTGAAACAAAATTTCTTTGACCTTTTATTAACTGTAAGTAGGTTTCTTGCCAGGAAGTACCAGCTTTATAATGCATTTCATTAAGACACCTGTCTTGTAATAGGCAATATATTTTAAAATAATAGTACCCTCCCACAAGCTGCCTTGCAGGTATATTAATAAGATGTTGCTATTTTGATTTAAATATACACACGTAAATACATACACACACTTCACAATGAAGAAATATCAGACACAATATCAAAAGGATAATGAAGTGGTCATTTAACAATGATTAGTTAAAATTTGAACAAGAACCTCATTCCATTGTTAATTTAATTGTGTATCACAAGGTTTGAACAATTACCTAAAGGACTGTCCCCTATTTCTATTCTACCTACCTACACACACACACACACACAAACACACACACACACACAGGCATACACATACATGTACACATTATTTATTTATTTATTTATTTTCAGCATTTTATGGGGGTACAAATGTAAGAGTTATATGTATTGCCTTTGCTCCTCCTCCCCCCCTCAAGTCAGAGCTTCAAGCATGTCCATCCCCCAGTTGGTGCACCTCACATTCATTACGTATGTATATATCCATCCCCTTCCCCCCACCTGCCTGACACCCGATAAATTTTATTCCTATATGTCCACTTAGGCATGTACACATTTTTTAGAGCAATTTACCAAACTACTCTAAAAGTAACCCTTTTGAAAGGAATCACCTAGACAGAAAGAAAACTAAGCATAAAAACTACACTAAACTAGAATGCATCATCAAAACAAACAAAAAAGTACAAATTTGTTTTCCCATTATCTATATGGACATAAAGAGAAAAAACAATGAGAAGATAGAAAAGTAAGGAATGGGACAGTCTAATTACTCTTCCAGTAGACGTTAAGTCAGCCAGTTTTGAGCTAAAAAATAAGATCTTAGAGACCAAATATTTATTGATAGCTATTATGTTAGGTTAAAATGCTGTGAAACAATTATGGGGAAATTAAAGTAAACTTATCAGTAAAACCCAGTACAGTTTCTTATACCAGCCCTACATTATATCATTAAAGAGACTAAAAATATTGTAATTTAGAGTCATTGTAATCTAATATAAAAATAGGGCTGAACATTAAAATTGACCCTAAAGTTCATACATTCACTTTCTCATTAATATACCCATCCATTTACCAGACATTACTTAAGCATCCACTATATTCTTCATTTGATAGATTTTTGCCTCTATGGAGATGAGTAAACAAAGTTCAAAATCCAGTGCAAGGACAAGTCAAGAAAACAAGCAATTGCAATAAAATATGATGTGTATAATAAAATGTGAAGGTTTGAACACACTTTGAAAACCCTGATTTTTTTTTAAGGCAAAGGAAATTGAAATCACACTGTGCATACTTATTTACGATTTTATTTTTAAGTTATGTGTATATGTTTTACATTTTCCATTTTATTAAATATATTCCTATAACATCATTTTTAATGATTACATAAGAATTTACAGTATGGATGCATTATCAGCTATTTAGCCATTTCCTATTTTTAGACATGTAGATTCTTTCCAATTTCCAATTCTTTCCAATTTCCAACATGTAGGTTTCTGCTAGCATAAACAAGACTTAGATACATAACCATCTATAACTTCTTGCACAGCTCTGATTATTTATTTAGGATGATTTCCTAGAAGTACATTTTATAGAACAAAGCAATAATGAAGATTTTAGATACATCATACTAAATTGCTTTCCAGGAAGTATATAAACCAGCCTGCATTACCACAG